CTACCCACTATACCACGACTTCACATATCTACCCACTATACACGAATTGACATCAATGTCAGTTTAAAACGACTAAAAGAATGTTGTCATGAATTTTGAAAGAGTTGTGTACATACGCTGAAAGCTTATATTATATTTGGGTTTAGTGAGCATCACATTTTCGTTGCTTGAATAGACTTCGAAACGGCGAGAAATCCAGTCAGTTCTACACTGCTTAAACAATGGACAAAAAGAATAAAATTGTATTCGTCCTCAACTACTTAAAGGGCGGTAGTTGTCGCGCCACGCATGCGCGAGATATATGAGCCTCATATAAACAAAGATGGCGACTTTGACAAACTGAGACGCTGTGAAGCTTTAATTAAGCATTTTTTAGGTAATTGGAAGGTATCGAAGGAGTAATTAGTGCAAGTCGCGCGCAGCCTAAACCTCATACTTGTGATTTCCATTAGAAGAGCGCATTGGATTGTGGGAAAATCAATGTTTATCAACACAAATGTCGCACATGCGCAGCGCGACGACTGCCGCGCTTTAACTTCCGATACTCCATCTGACAATAAAGAAAATTCCCAAACGAAGAGGCAGTATTGGATTACTATTCCGTCTCCATTAATAGTTTATGACTTGAACAGCGAAGTTTTGTCAGAGACAAATACAATTTTAGCTCCAATAGAGATTTGAAATTACAACGCAATTAATCGATTGACTTATCGCCGCCGACCATTCTCGATGATAACAATTACATGTGAAATAAACTGCTGTCTCCCACTTGTTGTTCGATCTATACAATTCCAAAACCATATCGATACAATAAACTCTCTGCTTTGTGTTGCCCAAGTATGCCCCCCCCCCTCTGCCGTGTTCAACCTTTTAAACATTTTATAACTAGCCCTAGGGTACCGGTAAATATCTATTTTTATAAGTTTTAAACAGTATGAAATACAGCTTAGATTTTGTTTCAAAATACAATTGACAAATTCTAGTTAAATACGCCAAAATAATACCAGGTTATGTGTCCTTTAAGGAGTCATATGTAATGCATATATGCCGTAATCTTAACTACCCGGTCAGGGCCTTACTCTGGGCATTATTCTGTTACATTATTAATTGGACAGGGCCTTCCTCTTGGTATTATTATATTACATTGTTACTCGGACATAGCCTTCCTTCAGGCATTAGTCGATCGTATTGTATGGTGTATCGCATTGTCACTCGGGCTGGGTCTTCCTCAAGGCATTATTGTATCACCGGGTCCATGGTATATGTGGCTGTGATTTAAGAAACCAGATGATGTATATCACCATATTACGGACAGAACGGGAATAC